AAGATGAACGATATAACGGATGATATTAGAAAGAATTCGCATGTCAAAAAGCATTCGAATGTATACAGAAAATATGGCTATTGATGTAGAATTCATTAAAGTCATCTAATTTCAAAAATATTACGAATAAGGAAATACCGAGACATTTGAATTTCACGAAATTTCTTGAATTTTCAAGAATTTTATTATCTACTTAATTATGAATATAATTTTTCATACCACCAAAGTTAATTTACTCCGTTTAATCTATAACGGTTAATTTAATTTTGTCATATATTCACACGATTTATAATATTCAAGAATATTATTATTTATTTATAATACAGTCTTTGTGCTTGTTACAGTTATTATTTCACAATATTATTTTATTACTGTCATTAATTTTTCACTTCATTCTTATAATATTATATCGTGTATAAATAGCTAAATTGTAAATACCAATAGTGATTCATAATATTGTTTAAGAGCAAAGTTGACGATCTTGACACATACCAACAACTCTCAAGGAGTCTTTTTCTTTATAAGCGAATGTAAACGATGTTTTGTGTAAGGACACTTACAGAATCGCGTCTGCTTAATTATTTGTACAATTTAGCGACACGCGCATATTATTATGTAATATGAAATTTGAAGGACAATGTCTTTTTATTATTGAAGACTATTATGTCAAGAGAGTGAGTAATTTTATTTAAACGCTGACGTTGAAATTTGAAGGACAATGTCTTTTTATTATTGAAGACTATTATGTCAAGAGAGTGAGTAATTTTATTTAAACGCTGACGTAATCTATACATATATATATATATATATATATATATATATATATATATATATATATAGTCTGTAGAGTCTACTATAATGGATTTCGCGATTAGCATGGATATTAATAATAGAAATTTCAGCTCATCGTCAATGGAATAAAACATATTTAGTGCATGTTATCAGTGTGCGTATAAAATATATTTTAATAACCGTCAATGCAAAATACACAAAAAAATACACAAACAATATTCATAGCCATGATGATGTTAATGGTAGGAGATGAATATTTTCCTTGTTATAATATCTGCTTGGAAGAGCGACATTGACTTAAAAGAATATCTTGCGAATGAATCTGATACACAAAGCTCGTACGCAACACAACCTTGCGACGACACACAGTCCCGGACTTTTCGTGAAAGTCGCTCTCTCCTACTCGCCCAATCATTAAATAACGTATTCCCCTTTCATCCGTACCAATGTACTGCGTATCAGCAGCAGCACATATTACGCGAATATCGAGAATACAAGAGAAATCCGAGCAGCGCTCGTTTGGAATTGTTTAAAAGATCGTCGGCTCGTGAGTCGCTTCGCAAGCCACCGATATGACCCCCCCCCCCCCCCCCCCCCACGGCTACAGTACATCGATTCCGCGGAATTTTCTCTTTACGCTATTTCTCTATCCTTCGCCCGATGCTATAAAATTCCTAAAAATTAGGATAAACGCGTTGGCATGAAGCGCTGGCTTGACCAGAGAACAATTCCACCACCACCACCCTACTGCCCCAAACACATATTTGCAAATACCTGACGATGTAAAGCCATCGATAAGGATCGATAATTTATAGGCTGGCTGTGAGCCGCAACCAACACAGTGACTTTCGTGACTTTCAGGGCTCCGGTTGTCGTTACGCATTGGCATGCATCGGCGCTGAAGCGAGTTGCGCAAGCGGTCAAGGCGCGCAATTGAAGGGGCCGACGATCTTTCCTCGAGTGTCGCTTGTGCCCGTATTGAGTACGTACTTCAATGACTCGTGACGGTTGTTCTCATACGGCGTCTCGAGTCGTCGCTTGAGTCGCTTGGCGCGTGCTAATACTCATCATCCGCCTTTCATGCGACGATTTCTCCTTTTGTTTTTTCTTTATTATTTTTTTCTCTTGGATTTTTCATTGTTTTTTTTTCTCTTCCTGGCCGAATCTGTGCCGCTGCATACGTGGCGAACGTGTTTGCGCTTCTGTGCACATGTACGTGCATGTCATTCCGACGCCGAGGTTCGGGGATTCATGGCTTTTCTCGTTAATTCGGAAAGCTGTGTTGGGGTAGTCCGGATTTTGTGTGTGTGTGTGTGTGTGTGTGTGTGTGTGTGTGTGTGTGTTTTTATGCCGCGACGTTGGCAGTATCGTAGTTTCGTTTATTTTAATTATTTATAAGACTAGACTTTGGTAATTTTTACGGTTAATATTTAAATTTCAATTATTAAATATCATTGTTTGCTCGTTAAGAGTCGCGCGAGTCTATGAGCAAATATAGCTTAAATTGGCTATAATCGAGGATGCGTTCTTAATAATAACCGAGAGTTTGGCTATTTTGATTTGTCTGCCTATATTAACATTAATTTATTTTAGCTAAACGAGCTACGTAGGCTGGAATTACATAATGTATAATAACGAATAAATCAAGAAAAAGAATCGGGCTTTATTATAGTAATTTTAGTTTTTTTTTCTTCTTTTTTTTTTTTTTTTTTTTTTTTTTTTTTTATTAGTATCGCTGTTCGCAAAGATAAGTATGAACTGATGACCTTTGGTAGAAGAGTCAATTATCTTGTCATGGAAGGTTGACTGTAAAATTAGTGCTCGCTTGATCTACTTAAAAAGATTCTCGCTCGATTTCATTACGAATAGCGCCGTTTTTGCGAACGAATAGGCAACTAATTTATGAGCCACAAGTACACACGTTGCTTTCTACCGTATCGATACAGCAGTACTTTTGTTCTTAATCCCGATTTGTTTTTGCAAATATTGTCCTTAAAAAATGATCATTATCTTAATCCACCTGATGTTCCGGCCTAAGCCGATAGTACGAATGGCCAAGCGATACCTCGTAAACACATTCATTAATTCATTAATCGTTCGTTAAACGTACAAGTTTTCGTTCTCATCATCAAGCATTCGTGACGATGATGCCTTCATTGACGAAGTCTCGGTGTACGACACTGTGCGCACGTACGTATTTTCTTTTGCGCAAGGCGTCAAGACCATTTTCTTCCGATGATCCATTGGCAGCGGCAAATGTCGACAATCGATTTTACTCGTTTCTTGTTTTTCCAAGCCGACTTTTAAAGATGGAAGCTGCGGTTGGCGAGCGTTTGCGTTACGAGTACTTGACAGAGTGCTAGCGAGCGTCTGACGGCTGTTTCATGAAGAGTTAGGAAGTGATTGTGCTGCTTGAATGGAGTCATAATTCAGATAGAATCGAGATTTATTGTATTATGGGGAGGGAGGGAGGCTTTAGTATTTATAGAGGAGCCGCTTCGGCGTGATATTTGCAATATATTTGTATGTTGTTGATTGTAAACGGTAAACAGAATTGCCATTTGAGCGATAGAGTGCCTTGTATTGTACAAAAGTATTGTAGAAATATGAGCAAAGTCGCAATGCGTTGCGTTAATGAAATGTCGACATTTATATGGGAAGAATGAATATTTTCATAATATTTGAGAATAATTGCATAAATGTTAGGATACTATTATTAAATTACTATTATTGAAGGAAAATTAAGTATCATTGGGAAATATGAGAGTGTAAAGCAATCGATATGACGTGTCTCTGTAGTATTAATGAAGTAATATTTTTTAAAATTTGTTTATCTAGTTAATTGCGTAACTTTGCATGACTTTGTAAGACATACTATGCGATTTGTTAAAAACTGTAGTATTTTTTCTTTCAACATTCAAGATAAAACATAGCCAATTTCTATAAATCCCAATGCATCGATTTAGGGAGATATAAATTGTGTAAATAAAAACATAAGTAGATAATTGATCTTATGAGTCAGGTAAAAATAATTTATTTAAAGGACGAGATACGCGGCTAAAACAATATATCGTGTGCAAAGAGTTTGTTAATTTTCACGTTAAAAAGTAATATTACAAGCTTCTTTTGTTTATTGTTATAATTACATATATTGTATCTATATATAGCTTTACAAGTTTGAAGATTATGTTATGGCAAATAGATGATGAAAATATCGATATAATGTGCAATAATAAAATCTTCTTGCATGAATAGCATGAATAAATTTTTAATATTTTAGATATAAATTGAATATTCTATTATTAAAACTATTATTACTAATTATTATATCGAAACAATTTTTCGAAAATATGAAGATGTAGATATAAATATTTATTATGTCTGGGGAAAAAAAATTTGTAATTAAATAGTATTAATCGTTAATTGCTCACATCATCTGATCTTGAAGATGATTATTTTAATAAAGAATTGTTATGCCATATTTAAAAGATTTATAATTCCACGCTAGCACGCGTGTTCTCGCACCCCTGCGCATACAAATTATTTTCTAAAATAATGAAGTAAATATTTTAATTTTATTTAATGAAACTTTATAAAATGAATCCGGCTTTAAAGATTTTTACCGATTTGAAGAGTGAGTCTGTAGTCTTTAAATCTACAAAGTGGAGCTTATTTATTTGCACGAACAATGCATTAATTGATCGTATTATATATTAATTCTTCTTATAATATTCTTTCTAAGAAGAATTTTCTTTCCTATTGAAAAACATGGCATTTATTCTTCATACATGAAAACACATCAGAATATATATTAATTTTAAGTTGCCATAATAATCAGAATATTGCATTTGTGCTATATTTTGTTAATTTATTTATTTTATTATTTTTACGTATTAATTTATTGATATTAAGTAGAATCAAAGTATGGCTCCAGAATTTATAACAATCTATTCTAATCTATTCTATTGGGTGAGTGGGAGGGGGGGGGGCAAAAAACTCGAGACATATATCGTTTTACAACATCGGGTATTGGATTGTAAATTAAAGAAACAGTCTTATGGTTTTTGGATCCTCTAAAAGATAAATGCTTTGGACAATAGATTGACAAAAGCTTATGCTATATTAACCAAATTCCTTTTCCCGTAGTAATTGAAAGCTTTAAACGAATCTCGCGCTCTTATAGCCTTCCATTTCTTCTTGGCTTTCAGCGCGCTAATTACGAAGAAATCGAAATGGTGGAACTGAGTGCCAGCAACACCGGCCAGCAGCAGCAGCAGCAGCAGCAGCAGCAGCAGCAGCAACAACAACACCAGGCTGCTGGCCCAATGGGGATAATGATTGGTTTAGCTTCGGCGGCCACGTCCTCGTCGTCCTCGTCGTCAGCGGCGACTGGCGCCTCGAGTTCCTCGGTCTCGGGTCGCGCCGGGATCCTAGAGACTCAGGTCCGCGGTCAATGGTACCGCGTGTTTATCTCCCTCGAGGACGACTATCTCAGCATCTCCCTGGACGAGAGCTGCGATAGCACCGGGAGCTCAGCCTCGGCAACGTCCACCGGCAACGGTATCAACGGCAACGTCAACAATAACAATATCGACAGCCTGGGTGATCCAGACGTGCCGGACTCCGTGGCCAACCAGAAGAGGACCGTACGCGTCATTAAGAGCGACAACAACGGCTTGGGCATATCGATCAAGGGCGGCAAGGAGAACAAGATGCCCATCCTTATATCGAAAATATTCAAGGGCATGGCCGCTGATGCGACCGAGCAGCTTTACGTCGGCGACGCCATACTCGCGGTTAACGGCGAGGACCTTAGAGAGGCTACCCACGACGAGGCAGTCAAGGCGCTCAAGAGGGCTGGCAAGGTCGTCGAACTTGAAGGTGAGTTCTTAATCGCTATTTTATGAGGTGGCCGATCGAGAAGACGAGAGGCCTATTATCACGACCGATTAATTAGATATTTAACGCAAACATGATTAAGTTTGCGCTCAACCAAACTTCACTGTCTTCGCTTCATATCTCCGATCTTTATACGAGTTCATTTAAGTAGTATTAAATAATGGCGGTGCTTATTATCCGGTAAGCCAGAATTATATTAATTGCTGCTAACTTATAAACTGCTAATTTTGTAATTTAGTAGTTTATAATGAATAGGGAACGTTGAAAATTAATTTCAATATCCGTAAGTTCGGTTTAAGTCCTCTTTAAAAACTCATCCCTCAGCCTTCGAGTCCGCATAAACTATTCAAACAGATTATGAAATCGCTTCTACGTAATCATCGTATGGATTTCACAAGTAGCGACGTAGATTCGGTTACTTTTACCAAGGCAAATGAAAGCATAAAGCTTTTTGTGAAAGCTACTAAGACCGATGCTAAGCTTATCCTTACTGTACGCAAAGCGATATTCATATTATATAAAAAAATATATATTCTATGCACGGCTGTATGTATTGAACAGATGTTCAAAACAAAAAAAAAAAAACGAAAAAAAAAACAAAAAAACAAAAATTGACCGAAAAAGTTAAAAGATAGACCAAAGTGTTCTAATCTATAGTTCTCATAGTTCCGGTTTCCCAGTACTTTGGAAGAAAATTTTTTCACCGGCATTCGCGAAGAAAACTTTAAATTCCCACACAGCATGTTTTTGGAATAGGTCTCTGGCACAGATCAATATCTAAAGTCCGTTAGGACGAAAAAAGAAAAGGAAAAAAAAAACAAAGACAAAAACAAAAAAACTTGTAACAAGAGAATGATCTTAAAGTTGAAGTAACAAGAAACTTTTTGTATTTTGGAAAGAAAACGAAGAATCAAACCAAATAATTTAATGGCGATCATACAGATTTATGGGTAGTTTTTAACGGCAGAAAAGTCCTTGGGCACATAACCGTATGATAAAGTAGCATTATGATTATTCAATAGTTTTTACAAGGTTTCCGTAGTTTGACACAGGAATAACAATATAATAATAGGCGTTGCTAAGGGGGACTTCGTCCTAAAGGAAGCAACAAACGATTGCCCTGCAAAGCTACCGAAGCGGAATGGGAAAAGAAATTATAGGTGTAGAAACGCGAATGGCAAACGCAAACTAGACGCATCTCTTTTGAAACGGTAAAACGAGTGAAAGGAAGCGATGATAAGACGCGATGCGCGTAGGGTACAAAAAAGCAAAAAAGCGAAAAAAAAAGAAAAGAAAGAAGCATACGGAATGAGAGGAGTTGACGAGTGCAAAGTACCGAAACATTAACGGCCTTTTGCCCCAATTAGCCTTAAGTACAGTGTGCATTAAGAACGCCGTTTTCCACTCGGTCGTTATAAAGCGACAGAGGCAGCATCGCCTAACTTCTCTGTCATGTCTTTGTAACCACTCTTAGTTACCCACTTGCCATGTAACTCAAGCATTTATATTGAAGATGAGTGAATAATCTTTGAAATTCTTGTTATATAGTTGCCGACTGCTAATGAAATGCCTTAAGCAGAATTAATAATTGACGAATATATTCGATGATGTTTATCGTTCTTTTGCATTTCGCGTTATTATGTGATAGGCAAGCTGGGATGATGGGAAGTTGGCTGGAATCGTTATAATATGCCGTTAAACAATATTGCTCGGCCGACGATAAAGTTCCGAGTCCCATTATTTATTTCGCATTTATGAATAAGCGAACTGGCGATTGTACATTGCCATAATTGTCATTTACTTACAAGGATATTCGACTAAAAATCCGAGTTTAAATAAATCGAAATATTATTTGATCCGCTTAAAGTTCATTCGTTATTAATTTTAAATACACATTTTGCACTTAATATTGTATTTACATTGCGATGACGAGGTTTGAATTTCTTTTAACTCAGACTACCCATTAAAGCCTTAATTATAATGTTAATGCTGTAATTATGTAATATTGTGTAACTACGAAATATAACGCACACCATTTTGTCGTTTTATTTTTAATTTAATTATTAGACGTAAATTTGAATTTACATCGGTTATATATGATAAAATATTTTACAATTATGCAAGGTCTGATTTCGTAAGGTAAGCCTTACAATTTAATAAATTTTAATGTTCTTCTATTTCAATTGAAATTTTATCTAATTCTAAGGCTGAATCACAAGAGATAAAACAACGGTAATTCTTTTATCTTCTTACTGCTTTATTCAAATTTAATTTGCCAATATATAATCATAAAATTATCAATTTTAATATAAATATGTCAATTTCATAGTGAATTGTTCATCTATGTTGTTCATCTTTTGTTTTATCCTAATTAAATTTCAATAAACATTTTTGCAATGTGTTTGACACACGAAAGCTCTATTATGCATGTGATTGTTCAATCTTTCGTTTCGCTTTACTGGAGTAAAATTTCGCTATAAATTATTTTCACTCTTCAGCAGCTTTCTTCTCGTAATGTTATTTCAATAAATTTTAATTTTCACACATTAATAATATTGATATTTTAGGTTAATGTCGTACTTTTTTTCTTTTCTTTTTTTTTTTTTTTTTTGGTATCGGAAATGTGCTAGGCAATAATATTAAATACTTCTTTTACTCCATGATATAAAGAAAAAATCGGGCCATGAAGAAATACGAAGAGATGTAGCAAAAGCTAAAAATTGAGTGAGTAGGATAGATAGGGGGCGAAGAGAAAGGACGAAGAAGAGAGAAAGAGAGCAAAAGTGACAGAGAGATTGGCGAATGGACGCGAGAGCTTTTAGCTGGATTAATACAGCAGAGCGTGTACATGCTTGTGACAGTTTCTTCCATATCTTCTTTCCCTCTCATTCTATTTCACGCGAGTGACATTGTAGAGCTACGTCGTTTGTTCCGCTACTGGTTTATAAGGAAAAGTATACCGCAGTCGCTTACCGGAAGTTGAATTTTTCCGAAATTTTGGAATCAACTTTCATAACAATGTGTACGTGTGCCCGTGTGCGGGTTTGGTTATCTATCTATCACTCTCTCTCTCTCTCTCTCTCTCTCTCTATTTATCTATTTATCTTACTTTTTCTATCTCTATTTCTTTTTCAGTGGTTTATGACAATACTTTATGCGTTGTTTGACCTTTTTTTGTATGCGTTTGAGAGAATATTTGTGTCTTGATATTGTTAATGTGAAGTTGTTGCAACAATAGGCTCGCGTCGATATGCAAACGCGAATTTATAAATCGATTGAACGGAAAAACATTTGTGTAATGATAGGATATAATATATTTTTTTACTACGTCAATTGTAAGGAAAATATATGTTTACAAATGATATGACATTTGCCTCGTTCACTTTATACAATTTTATATATTTATTAATCGATGGTATACTTAATGGTTCAGATGGAGCAATTAATTTTTAACGGTTAAAAGATTTTATTTTTTTTTTCAAATATTTTGGAAAGACGATTTTTTGTTAGATACAAGTTTCAATAAAATTGATGGTAAAAGGAGATAGAAAAAAGCAATTTAAAAATTGTCAGTTTTAGTAAAAATTGTTACCTTCTTTTACATATAGAAACTCTTTTTCGAGTTGAAACATATTTACTACACAAAGTGGATAAGATTTTTATATTAACTAAATAAGAATTCCAAAAATATAAATATATATATAATATAAATATAATATATTTTCTAAAAAATATATTCCAGAAAATATTTAATCTAAATACTTATCAAAGCTTTTCAATTATAAAAGAAAACAAATTATTTAATAATTAATTATACTTAATTAAGATTAAATTCGTAAAATATTATAATTAATTTCATGTTATATCATTTATATGTATATGTGTTATTTTATTTATTTACTTTTGGTTTCGTATTCGATTGCAGTTCGATTTTACTAACATTAAATATATATATATATATATATATATATATATATATATATTTGTAAATTAATATTATCAAGATAATGTCTATGGGTTGGTTTACTCAAGAATGAAATAAAGGGGCATCGATGTTCTAATATCTTGTATAGAAATAGCTTAATCAGCTTAAAAGTTACAACTTGATTTATAATTAGAAAATAATCTGTCATAAGCTTGATAAACAGTACAGTTAATAAAGTTTCATTGATTTTATTATAAAAGTATTCACAAAAACTGCCTTTCATTTAATTTTATACAAGAGCAATGCTGACGATGACGATCATTTGATAAATTTATAGAATTTTAAATATTTTTTCATTGGTAGTACCGTTAAAAATAAATATAAAGCAACTTATAAAGTTACGATGATTATAATCATTATCATCATGATTGTAAAAAAAAAAACAACAACAAGACAACCAGAAGAAGAAGAAGAAGCAGCAGCAGCAGCAGCAGCAGCAAAAACAAGTGAATCTCTACAGTAATCGTGTAATTGCCATAGAGTATAGGGATTTATTTTATGGGCAATATAGAATTACGTTAACTCTTCATCTGCTGACTTGTGCAAAGTATCTTGCCAACTGGTATTCATATATTATTCCAGTTGATCCGAATCCACCCCAGAATATCATCGACAATATTTTAGGTTAGATATCGTTTTTTATTAGAACGCGATGTCTTTTCTTCGAGTTTCCCTTCTTTATATAACATCTGCCCACATTTTACACAGTTGCAAGTTTTTTCTTCTTATAAAACGTAAGCTAACACTGATAAAAATTGCTGTATTATCAATAAGAATATTCCTTAGATATCTTTCATTTTAATTTCAAGTCTTTCCTAGATAACATTATTATGTAATATTTCACTAATTGCTCAGCTTTGTTCGAAGATGGATCGATAAACTTGGACATGCAATTGTAAAATTTAAAGTTTCGCTTTGCCAAATAGACTATGCATGTCTTTTTTTTCATATTAAGTAGTCATAATTCTCATTGGCTACTAGTATAAACGTTGGATATAAGGATAATGCTCGAATCTTGAGATGATATGC